GGTAGCCTTTTCCAGTCATTAACTACCCCCTGGGTGAAGAGATACTTGATGTATTTGAAAGTAGTGTTCTAAATCTGATTACTGTAAGAGTAATAATAATAATAATCCTTCCATTTGATATAGCGCTTTTCACGTCAGGAGGATGTCCCAAAGCGCTTCACAGAACACACTGTAAAGTGAATTGATTGTATATTTGTGGGCGAACGCGGCAGCCAATTGCGCACAGCAATGTCCCACAAACATTCGTAGATTGAAAATGACCAATTTATTATTGTTTTGGTTTTGAAGGGATTATTATTAGGCTCTGTGTGGAGTAAGGAAACTTGCCCAAGGTTTCGCCCTCTGCCTGGAATTGAACTCAGGTCTCTCACTTGCAAAGCGAGTGCTCTAACCACTGAGCTACAGGACTCCACAACCAATCAACCATCCCTGGGAGTGATACAGTACCTATAATGTCGAAATACCTCAAAGCACTTTACAGGTAATTGCTGTTAACTGTCGTGTGTGTATTTTGTCGGCAAGCATGGCAGATAGCAAGGTCCCATAGATTTGAAGTAAATGATCAATGTATCTGGAGGATTGTAGGCCAGGACACTAAGAAAACTTTTCTTTAGTCATGGCATAACAAATAAATACCAAAAAATCTAAGAATATAAAAGGGAATGAAGAAAAGGCAGATAAGTGGGACTAAATGGGAGTGCTTTTTCAGAGAGTGTGAAGGCTGAGAACGAGAAGTTGGAAGAGAAGCCCAAATGAGCATTGAATAAGTGGCTTGAGACATCAGGCTCACTTCAAGCCAGCAATAAATGGAAGCATAAATGTGTAATTTAAATGTCTTTCACCTGTATTAAAGTATAAATAAATATGAGGTAATGTTGCAACCAGCAGATCCTAAAACCTCAAGTACTCAGTTTAGGGATAAAAAATTTTGTATATGTGAGTGGGCGGGGAGAGGAAAAGGGATTTCAGATTCATAAAGTTTATTTCAAGAGCAATTACATGACATCAGAAGCAGGTCATTTTCCTGCCATGATACAGAGGGAGGGGATGATAACTGTATGCCTTCTGGACAATGTTAAATCAACTTCAAACACATCACTGCACAAATATACCCCACAAGAGTTGCGCTAATTCCTTCCTCCACCACACAAATGATCTCTTTTTCTCCCCTCATTTCTTGAAGACACTGACTCGCATAATGTTCACTATCACAACAATCTGGTCATACATTCTCCATACAGCGCACCACCCCACTCCACCCTTAGCACAGGCTTAAGAGAATTACCAAGAGATCAAAGAGAGATATTAAGATGTTTTTATTATACACAGAGGGAGGAGGGTTGTTAAGACATCGAATACCCCTACCCAGAAGAGTTGTTGAGGCAGAATCTTAGCTTTTAGAAGGAAATTAGATAAATATCTGAACTGAAAAAATATGAAGAGAATGGGAAAAGTGAGGAGAATGGGACGAAATGAAGGAATTGACGTCAGCACCACTTGCTGGCCGTGTACATAATTCCACACACAGAGGCGGCGATTGGGAAGTTGGCCCTTTTTTCACGTTTCGATTATAACATGGTTTAAGAGAGACTGGACCCTGAAACAACGTTGTCCTGCGGTTGATCATTTATGCCAGCACTGAATAGAATTACCCTGACACTGCACGCATATAATGAGTCATTCGGTGAGACTAGAAACTGAAAGGAAGGATCCAATGTGTTCCGAGTTGTACAGATGAAGACAAATGAGAATGTCAAGATTGTTATTAGTCACTAACAAGTCCAGCGTTCCAAGATTTACAGCATTGAGTGCAGCCTGTCAATCCCAATTAAAAAGCAGCTTGGCAGATTTCTTAAGAAATCAGGAAACACCGAACACTAACATGATACATAATAATAATAATTCTTGCATGTGATATAGCGCCTTATCACATCTTCGAGATGTCTCAAAGCGTTTCACAGAATACACTGTAAAATGAATTGACTTTATAACTTATGGGCGAAATGGGGAGACCTGCACAGAATTTACAACTCTTTCCAGTCAGAACAAAAAAAGACGACAGAGCTTGAAAACATCATGTCATCCTGGCATGAAAGCCACACTACAAGTGTAAATTGTATTGTTTAAGTGTGCAAGAAGATATCATACTGTTGGCATATTTGTTCACCGGTAATATTTTCATGAAGAGTTTGTTGGTGTGGCATATATGCATTTAAAATCCTGCACATCCCGATCCAGATTCACATAGAATTAATAAATATGGAATGTTTAAATGTTGAATCCTGCCGATACCCATATCCGCATTGCACCCATCAACCCTCTCTGACACCATCACTTCTAGCCGGTTAGAGTGCAGCTTCTGCAGTTATCAGCAGGATTCATTATCTATGAATTCTGTGCTCCTCCTGGTAATAACTCCTACATGTTAGCTTCTTGATGGCTGTAAAGTTTTAAGGCAAAATAATTTAACTAAACTAAAAAGTTAGTTTAGGAGAATTCTTGGAGTAAAATCTGTGCGTTTGCCTAGTCAGGAAAGCTAACGCAAGGCACGCAATTTGAAATGCAGAGAATCCAGATTCCATTTTAACGGAAAACTCAGCACTTCTGGCTCCTCTGATATTTCAGTGTATCTGGCGATTGGCCTGTACTTAATACAATCACCTCTGTTTACCCAGGGCACTATCCTCGTCTATATCCATTGTAACATCATCCACCACAAGCATGAAGTTGGCTTCACCTCTCCCTTGGATTTCATGACTGCTACTGTTCTGCCTGTCTGACGCCAAGGAGCCACAACACTCAGCAGTTGAATGTTAATACTGAAGCCATCTTGTTGGTTCTCACCAACACCTCTAAGCCAATTTCATCAACAATGCTGGCTGCTCATTCTGGCTGAGCCATGTAGTATATGACCCTGGTATCTGCTCGACCCTGAGCTCAGTTTCAAACCCCACCTCCATGTCACTCCAAACAAAACACTTTCTTCCACCTCCAGAATAATCCTTAAATTTGGTATAGCACCTTTCACATCAGGGGGACATCTCAAAACGCTTCACAAGATACACTGTAAAGTGCACTGACCATGTGTTTTGTAGGCGAATGATGCTAATAACAGCAAATTCTATTGCTGCTTAACAGTCAGAAACAAACTTTTCTAATGGATGCCTTTGATTTCATCCCTTATCATGCTCCTCCAGCACGGTTGATGAGATTACTTAGTTCCTGCAGTAAGCCACTTCTGAACACACAATTTCTCTTCCATTTCTATTAATATTTTGCTGGGCATGCAAACCTACTGTTTGGCTTCACACACCAATTACTGTACTTGATAAAATGAATCTGAACTATGAACTTGAGTGTTTTTAAATGGTGTTTGAACTTGGTGAGAGTGCCAAATCCTCCCTATTGAGAGTCTTCTCAACTGGTAGTGCTGGCTGTGCACTCACTGTGAGCACTAATAGAGATGGAGGTAGGAACAATGCTTGTCGTGCTGGGATGCTTGCATCAGGTGAGACAGGAGCAGCTGTGATGTATGAGGACTGTCTCAGCTGAAGCAGCAAGAGCAGAGCTTAGACAGACTTTATAAAGCCCCCTCACATGAGTAGCATCTCGTGGTACATAACAGAGGCGGAGCATGACATCATGCTGGGGAGAGAAGGGAATTGACTTAGACATAATCAAAGAGAAAATAGCTTCAGGTGTGACCTGAAGATGGGCAAGGAGGGAGCAAGGTGGAGGGATCGACACAGAAATCCCAATTATGCAGAGTAAAACTGCCAAGTGATCTGTAGGGAAGCAACAATAAATAGGATGATAGAGAAGATAGGAAGTTTGGAAAGAAAAATACACTCATTTTTACACTACCTTATCACATCAAAAATGCCATAAGTACTTCACAATAGTCACCGCCAAGTACAGTGACATTTTATAGCAAAGAATCCAGTTATTTTGTGTATAGCAAGGTCCCACAACAGCTATGTGGCTAACGGAGTCCTGTAACGTAGTGGTTAGCACACTCGCCTTGTAAGCGAAAGGACCCGGCTTCAATTCCCGGGTAGGGAGGGCAAAACGTTGGGCAAGTTTCCTTACTCCACACGCTGTATCAAATGTGAGGATTATTATTATTATTAATGGCCGGTTTATCCGATTTACCAGTTGGGCAGAACTAATATTTATCTTGTCGAATATGTTTTTNAAAATAAAATACATCATATAAAACAATTTTAAATTGTTTCGTTATCTACTTATTAGAAGCAGACATTTTCTGTACAGAAGGCATGCAGCTTTGTTTGAAAATCAGCCTGTTATTACAATGCTTATCCTTATCATAATAGAAAAAAAGGTTTTAGAAAAAGGCAATCAATATATTTCAATTTGTATACTAGAGAAAACTGCTTTAAAGGGAATAGCCAGAGACAATAATTTTGCTTTTCTGAGTATCCTGGGAAAAGAATACACTGCCCTCCTGTATTTAATCTGAATTTAGTTTTTACTTTACTAAGTATTGATCGACCTCCTAGTTGGGACCCTGACCTTTTTATCATAGATGTTGAGATTTCCATGTTATAAGCACTCCTTCCCCTATAGCTCTTCCCCACTGTAATAAACTCTCCCTCTCCCCAAAAGCAATAAGCAGCAGGGACATAGATACAGCAACAACAACAACAGCATTTATACAGTGTCTTTCCCCCGGGGTAGCCTCTCGGAGCACTTAACAATTGGTATAGTTTGACGCTGAACCTGGGAGAAATAGGAAGTGACCGTCAGCATGCTCGAAAAGGAAAGTCTTCATTCAGCCAGATACAGCAAGGTTCATTAGCTCAGCCTTGGGCACTTCCTCTACTAAAGCAAACATTCAATAATGCTTGAAGTTACAAATCATCTATTTCAGGTGGAATGAGTTGCCTATTCTCTAAATTGCTGAAGAGCAGGGCCTGAAACTGAAGGATCCTAGTGGATAGGAAAGTCCTGCAGCGCACTGTCGGTCTGCACAAACATACCTTTGTTATTGTAGACATCTAGGTAGTTGGGGGCAGAAAAAATGGTAATTAGTGAAGGGAATCCTGTTGTTTGGCTCTTTCTGTACATTCGATACCTGGGGGTGAGGAAACAAAAATATTAACACTGTCAAGTTCAAAGTACATCAACATGCCACAGCAAAGACAGCAAATTAGACTATTGTGACAACACACTGTTTTCTTAAGATTAAAGTCACTTTTCGTGAACCTTCTGCAGGCCAGCATTACTCTGAACTGAGAGCGAGTGACCTTTGTATAGCTATAAGGTAACTGAAAAAAACTGGAGCACGATTATCAATAGCTTTAGTTATATGAAATTCCTCTATTCTCATACTCATACTGGATATAGTTCCACAGGTACCATCTATGCTCCAAAACCTTGCTGTTCTTACAATTGCATTCACTTTATCTGTTTATCAGTCACAGATATTGGACACAACCCTGATAGATGCCAGCAAAATAGACCTCCTTAAAGCTGTGCCCAGGTTTCTAGCGACACCTAGATGCCAGCAAAATAGACCTCCTCAAACCTGTGCCCAGGTTTCTAGCGACACCTTTGACCATTTTAACCTTTGAACACTGCAACACAAGAAACCTTGTGACATGAACACGATTTCACATATACACATAACAGCAATATTTGCTGATAGCAAAAGCGAGACTTTGTATTTTTTTTAAACAGGATACAATTTAGTGTCAGAAATTTGGTAGGGAGAGAAAGAAAGACAGAGAGAGAGAAACTCAGAGAAAGAGACAGACTCATATAAAGATACTGATATGTTCAGAGAGAGATGTACATGCGCTCACACGCACAGAAAGAGAGAGAGACACACACAGACACACACAAACAGACTTAGAAAGTCAGAGTGAGGCTGGCATATATGATGCTACAGTTAACAGTAAAAGTCTTTTTTTAATAATAATAATATCCTTGCATTTGATATAGCGCTTTTCATGTCGGGAGGACGTCCCAAAGCACTTCACAGAACGCAATGTAAAGTGAAGTGACTGTGTATTTGTGGGTGAACGCGGCAGCCAATTGCGCACAGCAATGTCCCACAATCAGTCGTAGATTAAAAATAACCAATTTATTATTGTTTTGGTTTTGGAGGGATTATTATTAGGCGTGTGGAGTAAGGAAACTTGCCCAAGGTTTCGCCCTGTGCCTGGAATTGAACTCAGGTCTCTCGCTTGCAAAACAAGTGCTCTAACCACTGAGCTACAGGACTTTAAGCAAACTCTAGCCAATTTGTATTTTGTTTGCTTATCCACAATGAGGCCAATCCCAATCAGGGTGCATAATTGGCTCTCTATTATTAACCCAAGGGTAAATCATCCTGTTTAAGATCAACATCCACACTTTCCATGACTGCTCTCAAAATCAGGTAACTCAGCACAAACCATGACCTTCAGCTCTGTATGACTCACTTTCACTGTAGGTGGTACCCTCACCATCAGCTCTACAAGGAATCTAACTAAAACATGGGTGTGACTGCTAAATTTATAAAGTCAGCAATTAGCTAACAAATTCAATTGAAATAAACTCAGGGTACACTGGTAATACACAGCAGGGCAGTGAACTAACTACTGGTGTGTTGATGGAGGTTCACATCCAACCATTAACCTCTCTCTCTTCCTTCCCTCCCACCTCCCCCACCGACACTGATCAACCTGCTGTGTTTTTACATGACTTCCTATTTTTATTTAAGATTTTCTCCATTCACAGCTTTTCTTTTCTTTTAAATTAAAATAATCCTCTCAATTTATCTCCATTTCTCTGCTCTTTGGGCCTCTGTTCCTCAACTGGGTTACCAATTTAATGCTACTTCAATCACCCAATGGTATTTCAATGCCAAACCTGGTTCCAAATCTAATAATAATAATCCTTGCATTTGATACAGCACTTTTCATGTCTTCTAGATGTCTCAAAGCGCTTCACAGAATAGACTGTAAAGTGAATTGACTGTATATTTGTGGGCGAAACCTGAAGCGTTGGTATTTTCTACCTCTCTGACAGGGCATTACTTCATACACTTCACTTATTTTCGCCCACAAAATAAACACTGCACTTTACAGTAAATCCTGTGAAGTGCTTTAGAACATCCTACTGATGTGAAAGGTGCCTAATTCAACTTTATATAACATCGGGGGGGGGGGGGGGGAGAAGGAAGAGGATATATTATTCTCACCCCCAACCCCACCTCCTGATGCAGGCGATTTTATCATTTGAATCAAAGTTTGCTAAAATTTAAGCTGGGAAAAATAAATTCTCCAAAAAACAGGATCAGGTCAGAATATTGTACTAATAATGATGAAGATAATGTTGGTGATCTTAAACATTTCACTATTTAGCAAATAAACTGGAGCTTAAAGCAACAAACACCAACAACTTGCATTTATACATCTCACAGTGGTGAGGTCAGATGCCAAAAAAGGTGGCAGGTGGCCTTTGGTCAATTAAAGAGGTAGGTTTCACAATACAACACATTTATATAGCACTTTTCATGTTGGAAGAATGTGTCAAAGTGCTTAAAGGTAGGATTTGGACAGATAGAGAGAGACCAAGGTGGAGGAATAGGAGGAACGGAGTTCCAGATGTTAGGGGGACGGAGTTCCAGATGTTAGGGGAAGAGCGATTGAAAGTTTGTCCACGGACGGTGGCATGGAGGGGGTGGGGACATGCAGCAGAACTGAATTAGTCAATCGGAAGTGATGAGCTGTGTAGTGGGGGATGAGAAGATCAGAGAGATTGAGAAATGCGAGAGTGCAAAGGGATTTGCAGGTGATCTTATCAATGGTCACATCAATGATTAACATTCAGATAAAACAGTACATCCACTTCAGAGAGTACAGCCACCTACCCAGCATCCTGTGCCTCATGAGCTCGGATTACTGATAATAAATTATTATGTTGTAGGAATTCACACACAGCGGGGTAACTGAAAAGAGAAACAGATGAAAGGGTATTAGTCTCGCGAATGGCCTTTACGATTTGTCACACGGTCATAAACGCCATCATCACCTCCATTAGCAAGCTGCACCCGCTCTTCCCAACACTGTCCACAGGTCCTGTTCCTGGTGTTTCTCCTGTTAACTGGCCGCCTGACAGCTGTCTCCAGCAGACACACTAAGCAGGTCTATGCACTCCACTTTAATTGAGTGAAGAATGAACACAGAAACAGCACAACTTATTTTCCCAAGTAGTCAATCCATTGTTCCAGATTTTTTAAAAAAATCTGACATGAGAAACAAGATACAGCAATTCTGATTTGCAATACAATTACTGCCTGCTTCTTATCCAGGATACGTGCATCAAGAGATCATCAAACTAAAACATCTTTCTCTCACTCTCCAGCTCTCTTTCTGTTACAGGCAGCTAAATCTTTGCATTTGAGCCTGAACAGTGAGTGAGAGCAACCCAGAGTTGCTAAAGCTAACTATATGTAAAATTCTCTGCTCTGCACAACTGCTGAGATCACTAACTCAGGACTCGACAATCAAGCCAAGGTCTATCTGGGCATGTGTGGCTCACACTTGCTTTCCATTGAAGCCATTGGGGTGAGTTCTGGGGTTATGTCTACTTAAACACAGTCACTGAGCACAATCATAAATGAAGCGGTGCAAGAGGAAAGTAAATTCCTAAACAAAGAAGTTAAACGTGGATAGCCTCCCAATGGTGAATAGCTGCATTTAGCAAGTGCAACCAGCACCAAGGAGTCATTGAACTGGAAAGAACAGCTAATTCACAGTATCTGCGCTGCTTGTACATTCCTTCAATCTGTCAATTCTCCACACTATATCCCACTGCCAACACTTGTGAGGATGGCGGTCCAATTTACCATAGCACTGAAGCAGCAATTTAATTTCCCCAGAGTGCTACTCTTTGCTAAGGCTGCAGTACAGCATGGGATGGGGCTTCAGTACTCCAGTCACAATTCATAGCAGCGGACACAGGAATTGCTCTGTGCTTTGAATCATCAATCACTCAGTAAGACTGCACTAAAGGTTGAAATGTTTCTCAGTTGGGATCCCTCTGTACAAATCTCCGGATATAGGTGCCCCTCGGATATCAGCCAATAATACTTGGGAGGATTTCCTGGCTGTTGGGGATAACCGTCTGTTACTGGTGATAAAATCTATTAAAAACAGATCTGGACATCCTCTGCAATCACCATGGTTCAACCCTGCCCATGTGCAACACCCACTGGAGGCCAATTCGACCAGAGTGCCGAAAGTTAAACAAAATACAATTTTTTATACTTCATACACTATTCATTAAGTTATGAACTCCTAACAAGGCAGTGACGAATATTGAGAACAGAAGAGTCCATTGTTGAAGTCAGATTGAGTTGGGGAACGAAAGCAGACTGTTCAAAGTCCGTCACGATGTGTTGCCCAGTGGAGACTTAGGGAGTTCCCATGGGTGGGGGGGGAACAAAATGCGAGTCAACAAAGGCTGCTATCAGGCACCATAAATAACTTCAACTACTTAAATATTATGCTAGAATGATGGATATAAATGGAAGAAATTTGTGGTGAAAATAAACACTCCTGTGCTTTGCTCCAATTTAAAGGGGCTTCATACTTTGGTGTAATTGTTACAGTTTATGCTTTTTACACACAACTTTAGTACAAGTTTTGTTTTAATTGAACAGAAACAGTTTATTTCAGTGCCTTGGGACATCCTCCCGACGTGAAAGGCTCTCAATAAATGGAATCTTGTTGTTGTTGTTGTTTATTGGGTTTAGGTATAAGTTCTGGTTGTACCTCGGTGGCCTCTGCAGAAACCAATGCAAATTGTGACTCTAATCCAACCCATGTCTTTCCTTTGAAATAAATAAATGCAAACAAGCTAGTTTCAATTTGTAGCTAAACTGTATTACAACTGTAATGGAGTCCATAGCGTAGTGGTTAGCGTGCTTGCCTCCCACAATCACAACAAGATTGCATTTATAGAGCACCTTTCACGTCGGGAGGACGTCCCAAAGCGCTGGACAGTTGGGTTGGGACCCGAGCAGGGGGGAAATGGTCAGGGTGAGCGGAGGGAAGGGAGGGAGCGAGGAGGGGTTAGAGAGTCGAGAGGTGAGCTGAAGGCACGGTTGAAGAGAAAGGTCTTGAGATCGGCCTTGAAGAAGGAAAGGGAGGAAGCGGTGAAGGCACTGGGGGATGGAGTTCCAGAGCCTAGGGGCTGAAAGCCCGGCCACCGATGGTAGGGCAGTTAGGGCGGGGGATGTGGAGCAGACCAGAGCCAGAGGAACGGAGGGTAAGGCAGGTAAGTAGGGTGATAGTAGGTCGGAGAGGAGGAGGGAGCAAGGCCGTGAATGGCCTTGTAGGTGAGGATTAGGATCTTGAATTCGAAAGCGAGAGGAACCGGATTCAATTATAATAATTATAGGACCTTATTTACTGCAGTCAATTTATTGCAGTATTTACTGTGGGAAAAGAGTAGGGAATTGGGATTAAAGTAGTTAGCTCCAGTGGACAAGCTTACACCATCTTAGGCTGGATGGACAATTGGCCCCCTTCTGCCTTCTACGATTCCAGCATGATGAATCAACGAATGAGATTTATGGTATTATTTGATGTTAATATGGTTTAGCACACATGTGAAAAATGCCCACACTTAGAAGACTACGACCGTCATCAACTAAGCCCATAGAATGGATGAGAACCCCATGGATTTGTAGCTAGCTGAAACAATCATTTATAAATGAGCATGGATTGTGCTCTTTTCTAGGAATGCTAGTCAGGGCAACCTTACATAAATCTTCCCTTTTAAAGGCCCATCTCTAAGTCACCTAAAGATATTCAACACTGCTGGTTTGGGACATGGAGAAAAGCTCTGTCCCCAAGACTGTCACCACATGGATTCTTATCAGATATTCATTGCTCTCTTTCAAGAGGTTGCAATCAAGTTAGAAATAGCCTATCAAACACTTTCGCACAAAGATAAGCAACCCATCAAATCGCTCAACATTTGCTAGATTTCTTTTCAAGTGGATTTTCGTTTGTGAGCAAGTATTCCTTTTTACTCCCTGTCAAAGAGTTGTTGACTGGCCCAGTATCACTGAGCACCATAATAGTCTGGACTTACACTTTCATGGTTACATGAAATTGCTGTTGCTTATCGACTGCACCCATCGAGTTTACACTGCAGTGAGGGAAACCAAGAGGCTTGTGATGCTGTTCATCTAGGTGGACTCAGGAGCTGGGCTCAAGCACTATTCACCCCGGAGCAGTCTCGACTTACATTTCCCATTTTTGATTAAATCTCAGCCAAAGTGCTACTAATGCACAGGCAAACAACCAACAACAAAATACATTTATATAATGCCTAGAAAACAAAGTCAAATCAGCAATTCTATGTCCCACGGCATAGACACAACATTACTAATTTGACTTTGTTTTCTAGGGTAAGGATTTTAAATGGAAAATACAGTGGAACGCTGGAAAAATCCCAACCAGCCATACAACAGGACACGCTTGGCAGTTAGCATTCCTACATTCACTGCATGTTGGCTCATGCAGTAAGTGGTCAGCTACATCGGCAGTTCAAAATGCCAATCAGTGCATGGGAAGCCAGGAGATCATCACACTGTCAAATTTTGGATCTTTTGGGTAAAAAATGCCAGGTCCAAGCCCCCCTCTCCCTTCCCCGATCATGTTATAAGGGAAACCCATATTGTACAAAGCTCTTTCTAATGGAGTTCTATTGTACTAGATTTGAAGTTGCATTCTTCCTTGATGTTCAGATGAAGCTTCTACAGGATCTTGCACTCCTGAAACTCATTTCCAAGCATAAATCACCTACGACTGCCAGACCTGTGTTCCACTGCAAGCTTGTAATAAATAACAATAATACTTGCAGTTGATATAGCACCTACATTGTCAAACATCACAACATTTCACAGGAAATTGCTTCTAAGTTTGTTTGTAGCCAAATGATGGCAGCAAATTTGCATACAGCAATGCTCTACAAACAACCATGAAGTGATTGACCAATTTTACATGGAGGAGTGTTGGCCAGGCCATCGGGTTGAAGAATGAGCCATAAAGACAGATCTATATCTGACCTTTGATTTCAAAAATGGTATAGCGGTGACTTCAGCGTCTAATTAATAGCATTTGTTAAAGATATCTTTGTGAGAAATGTTCAATTTTCTAAAACATGGTAATGTTAATGACACACATTTCCTCAGAAATCTAATTAGAAATGCTGCAAATCAGACCCCATCTTCCTCACAAGTTGTATATTGTATTTAATCTTATAGTCCAGGCTGACACTCCAGTACATTGCTGGAGGAGCGCTGAAATATCAATGGTGCAATTCTCAGAATAAGATGTTAAACCAAGGTCCCATCTGCCTGTTCAGGTGATTGTTAAATATCCCACAATGCTCTTTCAAAAGAAAAGGATACTTATCCTTTGTGTTCTAGCCAATAATCCTCCAGATTACAATTGTGGTCATTCATTCTCTTCTTGACTGATGTAAAACAGTGTTGTGGGCAAATTGGTTATCGGATTGACCCACAAAATAAACAGTCACTACATTTTGCAAAATGTTTTTAAATAATGAGACTTCAACACGTTAAAGCACTAGATTAAATGCAAGGATTATTCTTAATAATACAACAAGTCTTAGGTATGTTTTGTATTTCCCCATTCCCACTCCAGAACACCAAAACATGCTAACATATAGCCTTTTAGCATTTCTGCAACTGGACAGTAGGTACAGAGATCTTGGCTTGGGGGCAGATGAAAGTTTTCATATAATATACTGAAGCAAGGAGAAAAAAATGGACTGTTTCAATATAGACTCAATGTCCAGGTTACCTTTTAAACATTTCCAAGTATCCCACCAAGTTGAACTGATTGTGACAAATCTTGTTGCATTCCCATTTTGATAATTTACTTTTTCAGCTGGTACATTAAAGAAGTT